GGTTCAACCCCCAGCCCCACAAAGGAAAAGGCCAATTTATAGTAAGAAAAGATAGGCAGGCAAATTAATAAAAATTAAATATCTGTTGTGTTTCAGGCAGTTTCACAAATATCATCTTGTACATTTAGGCAAACAAAAACCTTTTTTAAGGCAGACTCAAGAAGACTAAACAACCTATCCAAAATAACACAGCACGCCGAAGGCTGTTCTATTGGTTCTGTCTGGTGCCAGCACAGGCTGTAGCTAGCACAGCACAAAACCAGCATACAAATGTACTTTAGGAAGCCAGCAATGCCAGGAGACGTCTAGAAATTCATTTTAGAGAGGGACCCAGAGGTCTCTCTTCAAAGTGAAGAGGCGTTGAAAACATTGGTGTGTTACATTCAGAAATCCAGGAAGTCTAGACACCCAAATCTCTAGACCCCCTCCCTCTTTCAGGTTTTCTATTTTATGGGAGGGAGGGGGCTTTCCACATGCTAAACATATGCAGAATTTTACTAAAAAAGTGTTTAATAAATCAAAGATGCATGAAGAACAAAAGGCGTCACACAGCCCAGGTGACGGCTCTTTGCAAGGCTGCAGATCCAGGAAGCCAGGCTGTGTTTCTACAGAGCTGACTGATGGGATGGGAGCAATCAGGGGAAGACTCACTCCAGCCTTAGACAACCACCTCAGCAGAGGAGATCTCAGATGCGGCAGAAATATTGAAGTTCCACTGAAAGATTAAAGAGAAGACACAAGTACAAATGGGCAAATCAGTTTCTGGGGAGGGGAGCTATGGTGTGTACTTCTGATCAGGCTGGGCTCTGCCAGGGCTCCCACATCTCCCCAAAGCTCACAGTGCACAGAAGTCAGAACTATTGATGACTTCAAGACACAGCCCATGTGACAAAGGGAAACACCTCACAGTTTGGGGCACATAACTTGGTCATGAACTTTGGCCACAAGAGTAGCTTCTGTCTTCTCATCCAACATGGCTGTCCACTGTTCCTTCATCCATCTGTCCATATGTGCATGCATTCACCTATACCCATCCGTTCATCTACGCATCCATCCATATGCATGTCTATTCATGTATTTACCTAGCCACCTATTATTCATTCATTTATCCAACCAGCCATAAGCCCCATCTATTCACCCGTCACCCCACTTATCCAGCCATTTACCCCTCTATCATCTTTCCGCCCACAAACTCAATCATCCATCCTTCTATCCACCCATCACCTTATCCCATTGTCCATCCACCCGTCCATACATCTTCTGCTTACTCGTCACCCATCATCCAACAATTTCTCTGTTCACTGATTCATCTATTTATCTCCCACCCCTCACCTACACACCCATCCCACAGATATTTATCAGTGGTAGCTTCATAGCAAGTCCTAAGTGGGAAGACAGTTGTACAACACGGAGAATAATCTTAGGGAGAACAGCACATTAAATGATGGGGCACAAAGCAAGGCTGGTGAAGTTGGCAGAGGCCAGATCAAATAGGACCTTAGTAGAATGTGGGCTTATTTGTAGTTCTAAAGAAAGATGCTACAGAGTTTTGTGTAGGGCTGTGCCCTACTCCCACTGGGTTTTATAGGCTAGAAAGTGAATGAACAGCAGTGGAAATGGGCTGGACAATGTGAGGGCTGTCCAGGTGGTGTCCATGTGGACAAGCGTGTGTTAACAGGAAGGAAAGGGCTGCGGGGACTTGAGATTACTGGGGGTGTAAACACCCCAGACCCCTGTGACTTAGTTTGGGGAGACAAGAAAAGGAAGGGATTTTCAGTAATTTCCATGTTTGACTTGAGAGGATTTCTGGGGGTATAAATATGCCTGTGAATTAGTTTGAGGAGATGAGGAAAGGAATTTCCATGTTTGCAACTGTGAAGCCATGACCATACTGTTACTACTGACAAGGATGAACTTAGAAGAGGCAGTCACTCCTTCCTCTGGTTGGCACTGTTTAAGCACCTACTGTGTGCTGGGAGTTCAAAACTTGCCTCTGGGAAGAAGAGAATAGCTGTCTTGGATCTATCCAGACTCCCAGTCCAGCCCCCGGGCAGACCACACTCCTCTGGCCATGCTGAAGCCCCACCAGGAATTCAGGGTTTTCAGCATCTGTGGGTTTTCCTATCCTGGGCATCTATCAGATCTGTGTTCCTTAGATCCTGAGTTTTCTTAAAGATCAAAATTAGTCAGGAATTGTCCATGGGAATGGGGAGCCACTCTTCTCCAGTGACATTGACTTTCGCATGGTGTAAACCATGACCGATGGTCAGATGTCTCCTTTGCCATCAGAAGCTCAGCCATAGTTAGAATAGTACTGGGCAAGCATCCTCACAGCAGCATTCGAGCTTTCTCGGGTATTGATAAACCCACTGACTGTCTGTCATCTGCCCATGACTCTGCCTGGCCATGCCTATGCCTTCGACCATCTCTGATTAGGCCATCCAGAGAGCAGAGTTCATTTAAAACTCACAAAGTCATTCACACTTCCATACCCAGACACCTGTCTTAGGGATGCAGAATGGATGACCAGCTGCTAGTTGGAGAGATGTCACCAGATCCCTGCTCAACAGTGAGACACCTGGTCCTTCCGTCACCAGGAGCTTGGCATCCAGGACTCAGCTGAGTTTCTCACTGAGAAGTACCACTACAGAGTGACCTATGGTCACAATCCTTCCCTGCGTTAGCTCATAACTGGTGGAGGAGCATCCAAGTGCAGAGCCCTGACTCCTGAGTTCCCAGGAAGACAGTTCTGAGGGGTATATAGCTCCAGAACTTTCTGGAAGATACACCTCAGTTGTGACTGTATTGCAAGTCAGCTCCCGCCCAATGCACATGGATCCTGAAAGCATCACCCTAACAAACTTCTTGCACCCAAACCTCAGCAGTCTTGTCTCCCAGGATACCCAACTAAGACTACAGCCATGCTACAGCCAGAAGGATGTCTTTCTTCAATAAACTCTGGGGACTGGACACCCCAACAAGTAATAGTAAGAGGGAAAGGTGGGTGCTGAATAGGAAACAGGCGACTTGTTAATAAAGTCATGTGGGAAAAACACCCCAACACCCAGGAGTCTGCTGTGGCAAAGGAACAACATTTGCCTGGAAACCGGAAGGCAGGAATCCTGCCGGGCCTAGCCTTCACTTATGAGACCTTAATCAAATTGCTTAGCTTCTCTGAACCTTGCTTACCTGAAAAATGGGCTGATGCACCTTGTATCAGAGTTAGGAGGACATCCATGTGCTTATAAATGTCCCTGGGAAGCAAAGCTGCTCAATAAATGCTGATGTCTTCTCATGCTCTGGGCACACCCCAGCGTCTTCCAGGCCAGAGAACAGAGTACATCATCTCTGAAACACCAACTGGCTAGGATCCTTGAGTGGAGAAAGGCTAGCATCCCCTTCCCTTTCCAGGGCAGGGCCCCTAGAACTCAGTGGAGGGAACAAGGAAGCTGCGAGAACAATGAGAAAGAGCTGTGCCCTACACCTGAGTTCTTGCTGGGGATGGCACTTATCTGCAGACCAGCCACCGAGTGGAGTCTTTGTAAGATGGCGACTCAGAGCCTAGAACTGGGTCTGTCTTCCTTATTCCCCAGATCACTGCCCAGCCCTAGAGAAGGTGCTTAGCAAACACTGGCAGGATGAGTGACTAAGCAAGCTTTGGTCTTTCACCCCACAGAGATATCTGCCGTGGTCCTGAGAAGTAAAGGACGTGCCTTCTGGGTTAGCTTGAGGAAGGCCACGTCACACCGGTTCAGGGTCCTTCCCGTCTTGTCCAGGGCACTGTGAGTTGTCTGTGTGTCTTGTTCTCCTACGGCAGTGCTGTGAAAGCTGTCACCCGATTGGTTGTTGGCACAGTTGCCCTGGAACACAGTTTACCTTCCTCCTAGAGAAGCCAGTTAAGAATGGGGGCCTTCCCCAGAAAAGTGGCCTCTCCCCCGGGCAAGTCTTGATGTCACAGCCAGCATATTCTGTAGCGTTCTACTCTCTGCCAGTTCCTCCACCAAGAACACCTCCCTTGGCCCTCCCTTCTCCTGCACACTTCCCAGTAACACCATGAAGAGGGAACTGTGTTTCCATTTTACAGGTGGGAAAACTGAAACTCTGAGGAAGTAGAAGACTGGCCCAGCGTTACATGGTCAGCATAGCCATGGGACTGGATCCTAGATCTATTGTGAGTCTAGGCTGTTGTCTCTCCACCAAAGGCTTAGGAAGAAGAAGACCTGGCTTTGAAGACAATGAGCAAGCATGAGTCATATCCATTCAGCCACAACATGTGGCTTTTGTTAGTAAGAACCCCAGGCACACCAGAAAGGACCTGTCCTGGCCAGGACTTTGTGGGGGTGCCTGAAATTGGATCCCCAGCACCCACATGCAAAGTCAGGCATGGGTCACGCACCGCACCCGTAAGCTCAGCACAGAGAGATGGGGATAGAAGGATCTCACATACTTGCTGACCAGCCAGTCTGCCCGAAATAGTGGGTTTTGGGTTCAATGAGAGACTCCCTCAGAAAACAAGATGAAGAATTTTAGAGAACACCAGATGTTTGCTTCTGACTTACACACACACACACACACACACACACACAGGCACACACGCACACTCACGCATGCTCATGTAACACAAAGACTGAAGCTGACGGCCTCTTTCTCGTTCCTGAATCGCCAGTGCCCAGCTCACAATAGCTCTCTGTATTTAAGGGCTATAATGTGCTCGTGAGCAGGCAGTTCTGTGCTGAACAGTTCACAAATGCCGCTGATTTTTCACACCCAGTGTGGATTTCACATGGAGCTGCCTCTACTAAGACATCTTGATATGAAACACCCAATTGTTGCTTCAATAAAGTGATTGTTCACTTCTTCACTTCCCCCCACATAAATCTGCCGAGTGTCCACCTATATTGGGAGCTCACAGGTAATCTAACAGAATGCCCAGTCTCATGAATATTTGGTCTAAGTGGGCATAGAGCGAACATATATTGCTGAGATAGTAAGCCGGGTACCTCATAATGGTCTTGTGAAAACTTAGCTGACAGAACAAAACCCATCTGCGGAGTGGGCTTCGCCATCAATCTTCTCCCGGACTGGGTCTGTGGAGTTCAACATGGTGAGCAATTGGCTTTCAGAGGTAGGAGCGGCCCCTGGAGCAGCCCCTGGCTGAGCACCGAGTACGTGCGCCCTGTGGGAAGGCAGAGGAGAAAGGTGGAGCACCAACCCATGGAGCAGTTGGCACAGTTTCAGGTCCGCATTGCGGAATCGGGTTGGAGGATTCCTGGAGCCTACGCATAGATTACTGTGGACAGACAGGAGCTGGGAAACCACGTCTATTGATGGGATCAATTGAGTCCACGAGCACCCACCCTCGCCCGGTAACAGCTGCTTTCTGTAGCCCTACCTGCAGCCTGTGCTAGCTAGAGTGCTGGAAACAGCTGTCCCCAAAATGAGCACCACGGTTGGTTTTCCTCCCACTGATCAAAGAAGTCTCCAACTAAAGGGGGAAATAATTAAAAAGTAAAAACCTTATGTAATGAGGTTTTGGGAAGAAAAAAAAAGGAAAACTTTTGAAGCCAACAGGCAACTATGGGCAGCACTTCAAACAGCCCAGAATCAATGTTTGTCAATAGCAGTTTGGCATCCTTTAATTATCTTTCATGAATATAAAGTGTGATGTTATTAGCGGGCCATCCATGCTTTAGCTCTGGTTGAGAACTGAAGATCAGAACTCTACCAGTATTCTAAGAGGTGGCAGAGGTTCTTGCCTGATCTGGAGCCCTCTGTCCTGTGGCTGATGCCAGCCACAGAACTAAAAGTCAACAAACCCTACATGCACCCACAAGTCATGGGCTCTTTATTCTGACTGCTATCTTTCGAGACTCTTTCTTTTTTTCTGCAGAAGACAAGGCACCCCTTGACTCTGCCCAACCCCCCAAGTTACCATTTGTTTAATCAAGATAGTTGGTTTGCAAAACATTAAACAATATTTGATGCCTAGTTAATAATTTGCATCCTCTTCATTTGTTCCGGAATCCTCAGAGACCGACATCGCCACCCCCACTCCCAAAGGCACACACAGGAAAAGAAATTGTAGGGAAGGCAACTCGAGAGACCTTCAACACACAACTGTCTGTCGGGATGCTGCAGTTCCGCGTTCTGCTGCTAACCACCCTGCTGGGGAAGTCAGCCACTGGGGTGAGTGGTCATTTCAAATGTCTATGGTTGGCAGACTATGAGGGTTTTAGCAAAATCAAGCCATCTGGGTATGAAGCAAGAAATCTTAAATCGGGAAAGGCTGGTGTTGCCAAGCTGAGCGCTCTGACTACAAGAGTTTCTACAGACTGTCTCAGGGACATCTGTGCAGTTTTGTAATGACACGCGGGTGACATGCATCTCTTGCAGCAGAGCCTCCATGAATTCATTCCAGCAGAGACAGCTAGTGTACACAAATGTCCTACAGCATGGATGAAATCTGGTACGCACCTCAAGGACCCCTTTGTCCCTATGAAAGCAGATGGAGCACCAGCTCCAACACATCTGTCAGACTCTCCAGCCCTCCCAAGATACTAAGAAAGGAACTCCTGGGCTTTGGCCTCAGAAGGTTCCCTGGTGGTTCAAGTCAGCCCAGCAAAGGGTTTACTTAGCTGCATCCAACTTGAGGCCCTGTGGCTAGTACTTTCTTCTCTTTTTTCCCATGACTATAGTAATGGGTAAAGAAGACGAACCAGGGCCTGAGGGAGTTTGTGGTGGGTCAGAAAGGTAAAACTGTGAAGCTTCTACTAGGGCATTGGAGACCTTTGGGTTGAAATAAATAAGGGAGATGCTGGCTGGTCTGTGCCACCCCAGTCTGTGACACCCCCCAAGTGTGTGCACCCCAGTAGTGCAACTGCCAACAGGGTCTTTGGGAAAAGGGAGGAATAGAATTCCTGGAGTCTCCATGCTGGCTATAGACTAGGGCTTGAGTGTTGAGCCTTGGATCCAGTGATAGTCTTGACTCTGTCACAGTGACAGGACTACGTAGCCGAATAACCCCCCTGAGCCTCCAAGTAATGGCCAACAACCCACTGCTCACTTGGTAAAGGTCATGGCAACGGAAGGCCACATATGTGGCTTCCAATGAACCTTAGCTCTTTTGTGTTTGCTTTGTGGTGTTGGTGATCAAAACCAAGATCTTTGGTGTGCTCCAGGCAAGTTCTCTACTGGTGAACCAAACTGCCACCCTAGTGTGAGCTCTTCTGGTGGATAATGTCCAGAATGTGTGCAACTTACCTATGAAGAGCCGAGCATAGGCCCTCGGAAGAAGAGACGTGGCAGGGAGAGGGTGTGAGCCGGGGTACACTTCTTGTGTCTGATGAAGCACTTTTGAGTTGTGTCTCCCTTTGCGGGTGTTTCCTGAGGGAATGGAATTAATGGCAGCCTTGCTCATTAGCACTTTCATAACATAACATCTTTAGCTCCCTCTCAGTTACTCAGCTCAGAACCCTTCCTTCTCCCAGGTGCAGTCTCCAAGTGACGTGTTTTAGAAAAGATTTTCTTGCCAGATTATGAGGCGGACAGATGTGCTGGCTGCAGACAGAGATAGATGACTGTCTAAGTCAGATGATCTGACTGGTGATTGCTTGGTGGCACCTGGAGCTGAGGGTGGCTCTCCTGCAGCTGTATAGAAAGGCAGTGGCAATTGTCAGAGGCCCTGAGAAAGCACCATCAGGAAACAATTGATCCTAAAGTCTGCAGGCAAGAAAGGGCAACAGGATGGTTTGACATTCACAAGGATAATAGTCCTAGATTCCCAACCCTCCCATAAATCCCCCCCTTTTTTTGGTAGCAACCAGGGATTTTTAGGGTTATCAATGAAACTGTAAGTCAACAACGAATAAAAGAGAACATTATGAGGGCTAGCCTCAGGCAATGAGCTTGGACTACTCCAAAGAAAGGACTCTGTGGTTTTCGTACATTTTCTTACTCATATGTGTGCCAAACAGATGGTTGGGAAGTCTTTTCATGTTCCATGACCTGGCACATTACACCCAGGGCAAAATAGTCAGGGTGGATGCTCGGGAGAGTTTGGGGCTTCATGGGGACACAAAGCCACACAGCCTGATGGGATGAGGGGCCTCTCCCACCTACACAGCTAAAAATAATAGCCAGTTGTCTCTGAGCACTCAGAAAGTTGAGGCAGGAGAATTGTGAATTCCAGGCCAGTCTGGGCTCCATGGTGAGTTATACAGGCTAGCTTGACCTATGCATCCAGATCCTGTATCCATAATATAATAATAATAATGAACTGATAGCATATGGTAGAGCCAGCCCTCAGTGCCAGCCCCTAAGTTTGCTACAGATTGGTCCACGGCCAAAAGGACTCCAAGTCATAGCTGCTGTCACTGCTCCCACTTTACGCATACAGAACTAAGTCCCATAGCTGGGGAGCGACACAGTGGAGTTTGCAGCCTTTAGAGGATATGCCTGGGTCCCCGAGTGCCATCTAAGTGCTTAGGGACCTACGTACACCTTTTGGTGTATGTGGTATTAGGGTGCCCACATCCTAACTGGAGGCACAATTTCTGGGGAGACGGTAACGGGGCTCTGAAGCAGAAAGAAGACCAGTGCTTGTAAAAGAAACAGTGGGTTGCTTCCCGCCGCCCACCCAGCTAGCTTTACCCGAAATAATTCCACGGAAACTGCATTCTTTTAAACACTGCCCTGGCCCATTACCTCCAGCCTCTTATTGGCTAACTCTCACCTCTTGATTAACCCATATCTAATAATCTGTAAGCCACCACAAGGTCGTGGCTTACTGGGAAAGATTCAGCATGTCTGACCTAGTGGCTGGTTCCATGGCATCTGCCTCACTTTCCTTCTTCCCAGCATTCTGTTCTATCTACTCCACCTATCTAAACTGATGTCCTATCAAAGGCCAAGGCAGTCTCTTTATTAACCAATGAAAGTAACACATAGACAAATAGCCCTCCTACATCAAGTGCTGACCCAAGAGGCGCCAAATGCATCTTGCTAATTTATTCTCAGGATCGTCTCTATCAGAGGCTCTGCTTCAAGGAACATTTTATCTTCTTCTTCACCTGATTCTCTCTCTCTCTCTCTCTCTCTCTCTCTCTCTCTCTCTCTCTCTCT